TAGCTCTGTCAGCTTAAAACCCAGGTCTCAGAGACAGCACAGCTGGCAAAGCAGTATTTTTATACCTCATTCATCTACACTGGCAGGCCACATGGTTGATCATCATGTAAATGACAGTTGCTCATTTTCAGGTCTTTGCTAAGAAGGATCCGAGGTTTAGTGCATAGAAAGCTTCTCTATCCTATCATGGCTCCCTTGTTGCAGGGACTTACTTCCTGCAGGAAATGTATGAGCCTCATTAGAGGAGTTTTTTATTTGTTGCTGTTTTGTTATTTAATTTAACACAGCTTAATATATACATACCAGAAATAAAACATCGATGGCCTCTGCTGATACTTGGAATTAGCCTACATTTAGTCTCTCATGCATAACCAAAAATTTTCAGCAAAGATTCATATGAGATATAAACATTCCCTCTACTCCCCCAGAGTTCTCCAAACTAAAGATTCAGTGGAAATGTAAAAGGTCCTTTTGAAAGACAGGATATTTCTGAGCACTGAAGACAGATATTGTTGAGTTATATGAAGTCGATATTTGCAAAGTGATTACCAAAAAGGCTCCCCATAAAACTAAGAGTAGGTATAAAGGGAGTTCAGGAAAAGTTTACTCTAAGGCATCATTTTGAACTTTTCTGTCTTGCTGCATCACATTTAGTTTGTACATTTAGGATGTAACAGGAGAATACAGCCTGAAGGCACGAATTGCTAATTAAAACGCACAATAAAACACATAACAAAACAAAAAAATTACTTCATTCTTGCTGTCACATTTTGGCCCACTGGTCAGTCAAAATATATGAAGGGCAAATAAGCAGGCAGAAGAAATAGGAGAAAAAAAGAAGCATTTTCATCCTGAATAAGAAAAAATACAGGCAGCACAAACAGCCTGTTTTCAGCCTAGCAGACTAACACCAGGACCAAGATCAGCTCTAAAAACCCTCAAACTTAAAGCATCCAATGAGTGGTCTACAGCCTTAATAATTAATTTTTATTGAGGTGTCTTCTTTTCACTTATGTTGTTTGTGTGTTCTTTCTGGTTTTGTCTAAATATTTATAAGAGAAAAGGACTTCAGCCTACAAAGGGGTAGATTTAGCAATCTACAAATTCAGCCGCTGTCCAGCTTTTGTGTTCCTCAGAGGTCCAGAATATTTATCCAGAACGCCCCCAATTTAACAGACTGTCTCTCCAGTAAACTTCCAGACTGTCTCTCAGTCTGGAAGTTATAACATAATAGTTTGTGGAGAAGAAACATTCTGGCAATCATTTTTAACCAGAAAAACTCTCTAGCATGCAGCAGGGTGGCAAGGAATGTGCCAAAACCCTGGGGGTCTTAAAAATATGTAATAATAAAACATCATTAGAACATGCACGTCAGCCCTGAAGAATCTTATTTTCTAATCTTTGAAATTGCTTGGACATGGAGATCTATCACTTGTTTTAATGACTGCTAGAGAAAGCAAGTAACATTCTCACATAGTTACACAGAAATTTATGACAAATCCTGTGTTTGGTTATACGAGCTTATTTCTTATGGCTAACTGAAAGCTGCTATAAGACTCTATTCCAGGAAACAAGACTGAATATCTCAGTAGTTTTCTGAAACTCTTGATTCAAAGTCTATTCAAGAGAGATGAAAAATATGTTTAGACTAACCACATATCTTTTGCAAGCCTCAATATTATTTAACTCCAAAAAACACTCTTCATTTCTAAGCCCTGAATATTTAATCTTCTATATGGAAAGTTGTACAGCCTGTGACATGCCTACGACAACCTTGGGGCTTTAAAATAACAAAGGTACCGTTCTTTCGTGATAAGTCCTGGCTTAAGAAACTAACAGGTACATAGTGTGCTTTATTTCTACCTACATGACATAAAAGTAAAGATCTTTTTCATCAGCTTTGAGATGTGCTACATCTCCACCATAAAGTACAGGATAGTAATAAAACATACAGTGCAACTTAAATGGATGAAAAATGAGATTTAATTAATATTGTCCAAGGATGCAGGTTATTAAAGTATTCTGAGATCAGGTAATTGCTGACAAAGTTTAACACAGGTTATTTGGGGAGGGACTTTTCATAAGGGCAGGGAGTGATAGAACAAGGGGAAATGGCTTTAAGCTGAAAGATGGTAAGTTTAGAACAGATATTAGGTAAAACTTCTTCACTGTGAGGGTGGTGAGACACTGGAACAGGCTGCCCCAGGAAGTTGCGGATGCCCCCTCCCTGGAAGTGTTGAAGGCCAGGCTGGATGAGGCTTTGAGCAACCTGGTCTAGTGGAAGGTGTCCCTGCTGATGGCAGGGGGGTTGGAACTGGATGAGCTTTAAGGTCCCTTCCAACCCAAACCATGCTATGATTCTATGATTATTTAAAGTCCCTGCCTCATAGGTAAATAGTGCATATATAAGAGCACACCCTATAATGCTATCTTCTCAAAAGCAAATAGAAGAAATTTTAAGGCAAGTGAAGTTATTTTCCATCTTAATTCTGCTATTAGATCAAAATTATTTGGTAAACCATTTCAAATAGTGGCAGCATCAATACATGTGTACAACTGCAACTGGAAGTTGGTTTCTTTATGTTGCTTCTAATGCATCACAAGTTGTATCATATCCCAAAATGAATTCTGCTATGAACCCCATACTCAGAGGCTTTCATTTCCATATGATCTCCCAGAAAAAAAAAAGGTTACATTAATGTGTGACCCTTATGTCATAAGCCTACTATACATGAACAATTACGGCAAATTTTAACTAAAATTACTTCCCATAAGAGGTGGACTTAATTCACAAACTTTTCCCAATTCCCTTCTCCTAAAAAGAGAAAAGACATTTTTAAAAAATGTTATCTGATAAAATCATTACCTACACCTTATGCAAAGCAGAAAATGGAAGTCACCTAGATTTCTATGGGGAATATAAAATAATTGCAGTATTTCAGAGCTTCATCAATTTATGAGGTAACATAATTACTGAAGGATGACAGTAATGTATATGAAACAAAATCCACCATTTCTGAAGATTCAGTAACAAACAAATTCAGGCTCAATTGATTTAGCAAGTCCGTGCAGAGACAGCCTTAACTGTCTAGAACCAAGATGTACTGTGAGGACATTTATGAGCTGTTTTGCTTCACTTTTAAGTCTCATACCTGCAACAACCCAGTGGTATTTCTTTCAGAAACAAACCAAGGCTTGTCATCAGAATGCTTTGGATTATACAGAAGAGTTAATAAAAATAAATAATCAAAACCAAGAAGAGATATCTTCCAGTGAATAGAAATTATACTGAACATCTTTCACTAATCATATACCTAAACAGATTTTTTTTTTTCATGGAAAGGTGGAAGAATCTCATATTATTTGTACAAAATGTCACAATCACTTATATCATAAATAACATGATATTAGGCCAAACAAAAGGGATAAATTCTCTGTTATTATAGAGCATTCCTTCTATCAAACTAACCCTCTGATCATTTTAACATTGATTTTTCATTTGGTTTCTCTGAGAGACTAACAGACACAATACAATCAATTGTCACCTGCACACCAACAGGCAATTACAGCTAATTTTAATTTAAAATGCTTCATGTAAAAGGTTCAAGCTCAACTGTCTTGTGTTGAGAAACTGGGAAGAGGCATTGAACACCTGCCAGAAACCAGCTGGTTCTCCACTAGGACTGCACAATCCCAGCAGCCCTACATCAAGAGCACTGTAGATTCAGTTTTTACCACTGCCTATCTGCCCACCACAAGACTGTAATGCCTTGAACACACACTGATCTGATAAAGAACTAGGAATTCAAATTAAGAGAGAGCCAATGGAATTCATCACTATCCTGAGCAGCATGACAGGTAATACAAATCTTGCAAAACAGATTTGCACAGGTGAAGATTTAAAATGTGTAATCTTTACTACTCAAAAGCTAGATTGAGATCTGTTAAAATTGCTGGAGTTTTTACACTTGTTCTATTATGATTATTTTATATTATATACATATGCTGGCTGGCCCATTAAACACAGGCTGGAAATTCCAAGATTTCATCTGTACTTTAATGTACAAAGTATAAGACATACAGCACAGAGGGATAAGCAGAATCTCAGAAGTATTTCTTTCCTGCTTCCATGAGAATGATGAGTTTAAGCTGTTTTTTCTCCTAGAGCTTTTTTAGCCAGAAACTTGAAACAATCTGTAAGATTCCTGTATACCTTAAATAATACACTTCTTTGAATAGAAACTATTTGCACTGTATGACTGAATTTCACAGGTATTTGTTTCTTGAAAGGGGTACACACATTAAAAATAAAATGAGGAAGTTACAATAGGAATAAATATAATCAGTATTGTGTGTTCCAAGTTTTTTAAAACCTCAGGAAATTAACTAATGGACATTTTTAATACCGGATTTACACATTCCATCAAATGTGACAACCATCTCAACCTTTTATTGTTACCCATATTTTTATGATCTGACTTTGTAGATACAGGCACTAGCCTGTTTTAAAGACTGAAATTATTCATATTTTAAAATAAATGTTGATCACACTCAAAAGAATAACTACAGATCAATATCACGCACCCTTCAACAGATCTCTTCGAAATACATCAGTAGCTTCACTCAAGAATAAAAATACATTGTAGAAAAGAAGCATCAAGCCATAGCAACCAAAATGAAAACTCAGTCATCTAATAGATGAAGAAACAAGGAAATCAAGTCATTAAGGCCCAATGCTCCTCACTGAAGCAATGAGAATTAGCCACAAACATTTTCAAAAAATGCAACCATAGGTGCTTCTAAAAAAAAAAATCTAGAATGAGATCTAGTGTACTACCAAAAATATATACCAAATATATTGGTATTTAAAAGGTTTTAAATTATTTCACTATTCTTTAACAAACTGCCTTCTACAGAGACTTGCAACAAACACATCGTCACTTGACACATGCTATTAACTAAATATTTCTATTGAATTTTATTATTAGAAGATACAATACCTCTGTCTGAAGTATGGCAGCTCTCTGTTCTTTGGCAGTAAGTGACTCTTTAAGCACTTCAATGTGTTGCTTGCAATCTGAATTCTGATTGCTAAGGGTTTCAAGCTTAGTTTGTAAGGCAAGAAGTTCTGATTCTTTCTTTGAGAGTTCTTGTTTCAGTTGATCAATCTGTAATTGGGGGAAAAAGAAAAGATTAGATCATTAATTTCATTTCCAATTCATAGTAGCGTTTGAAATCTGAAAGGTGTGAATGACCATGATGTACTATAACTCAGACACCTGTAAATTCTGGAAGAAAATTAAGATCAGACTTTTTACACTCGCACCTTCAATTGAGTTTCTTGTAATTTAATGTACCTTGCTTTAAGAATGATTGTCCTGCTGTTGCAGAAGTTAAAAGGAAACTTTTAAAGATTATACACAATGATTTGGCCTATAAATTCACTGTGGACCTCACTTAAGTTCAAAGGAACTTATCCTGTGTGAGCTAAGTCTGGCAGGACAGAAAAAATGCATAAGAAAAAAAGCATTCATAAAAGTTTAAATTCAATCCAATAGCCTATTCCTTCCAACAGTACAATTCTTGTGATTTATCATTGGCCAGAGTGAATCAAGGTTTTTTAGGAACCTGATAAGGAAAAGCAGGCATGTTAGTAAGGAGAGGAAAACAGAGAAGAGGAATTTTAACAGTACTCTTCTTGCAAATGTGTTGCTGCCCACCATTCCCACCTCCTTTTTAACTCTCTGGCAGTTCATATGGAATTCTCAGGTACTAGGAAAGCCAAGTCAAACCAATTAATTTAAAGTCTGGGGAAAACGTTATAAAAAATACCACAAAGTGAAAGATCTGTGAGACTGTAAAAGTGTATCCTGGGGGAAACACAAGAAACCCAGTCACTAAGAAGGAGCTTCCGAATTAAAGGTTCATCAGTAAATGTAATGGAATTGTGATTATTCTTACCTTTCCACAATGCTAAATGGGAGAAGTAGCCACAGAATGCAAAAGTGTGGTGGATTTAGAATATATGAATCTGAAGAAAGCACCGGACAAAACACAGAATGATGCTAAAGTACGGTGAATTAGGTGACATGCAACTATTCATCTTAAGCTCTGTGAAATAACATTGGTCACCAGATGAGTTCAGATATATCATCTCATGAGGATTACTTGAAATAAAATGCCTCACTGTATCTGCATAACTCAGAGAAATCACACTTCCTTTATATTTGAAACTTTTCTTGATGACTCTAAGGCCTAGACATTTTTCTTTAAAATTCAAGTTTCAATTCTGCGCAACCAGAGAAGTGCTCGAGGAGCTCTTTCCATTTTCTCCCATCAGTCGCATCCCAACAGACATGTGGGATGCAAGAAATCTAGAAGGGCTAGATGGAAGGTGATTCAAAAATCCCCAGAAAAAAAATATATCCATAGGCTGACAGTACTCAACCACATCCTAAAGATCCACATACTAAAATACTTCACTGATTCAATATTGTATGGCACAGTCACTGGAAACATTTATTGCTGATCAAAATATTTCTATTTTGTTTTACATTGGAAGTGTATCCTTAAAAATTAAATTTAAAAGAGGTTTCTTCCAACTACAGTACATACGCACATCTGAATATATTTATTCCTTATTTCTCTTTATAAATCTCAATATGTTTGTCTAGCTGGTTAAGGTACTTGGCTAGCCACCCCTGAGCTACTGTATAAAATCAAGAATCTATACTGGCACTAAAAGCAATTACTTTCACAGTCTGAAAATATCAAAGAAAGAAAAGGAGCATACAAAAAAAACAGATGTCAAGAAAATGTAAAAAATGTAAAGAGCACAGTTAAGAAACTGCTAGAGAAAACTTTCTCTTGAAAGCAAACCTCCATCCTCCATCCTTTGCCAGAACATGTACGCAAGCATGGCAACTAAGACTAAAATGTACACAAAATGAACAATGGGAAAATCTGTCTAAAACATATAAAGACAAAACATAGATCTGCAGACAATCTGAATTATATCACATGCTTTATATGAGACCCATGTGAACATCACAGACACTTAATCTCTCCATCTCTCCTAGAAACTCTTCCTGCTTTTTTCTATGACACAACTCACACTGAGAAATAATCAACAAAAAACTAACCAAACAAACAAACAACTTCATTTTCATCACAGGTATGTTCTTTGTGTTTCAGAAACAGAATCTGTTCAGTATAAAGTTTTGGCTACAAGACCTACACATAGCCAGGAGTTTAAAAATGTGATAAAGTTCTCAAAAAAAAAGAAAAAAAAAATCAAAACAAACACCTATGTTGGTGTTTTATTAAAATAAAGTATAATGGTGACAATGTAATAAAACTTGAATTTAAAAAAATTATGTAACAAAAATACCAAAGGCATAACAAGAAACCATGCAACTTTTTAAAAGAAATTTTTAGACCTGGCTATATTTGCTTTTTAAAGTTCTGCATTACCTGTTAGTGTGTAAAAAAAATTAAACAGGGCATGAAATAAATTTCTGTCTCCAGCAGATATCCAAGCATTTTCACTTTGCTATATCTTAAGCAGTGTGGAAAAACAACAGTCACAATTCTTAGATACAAGGAAGAAACGCTTTACTGTGAGGGTGGTCAGACACTGGAACAGGTTGCCCAGAGAAACATGGCTGCTCCTCCCTGGAAGTGTTTAAGGCCAGGTTGGATGAGGCTTTGAGCAACCTGGTCTAGTGGAAGATGTCCCTGCTGATGGCAGGGGGGTTGGAACTGCATGAGCTTTAAGGTCCCTTCCAACCCAAACCATTCTATGATTCTACGATTCAATGAGATCTCCTGATATCAGTACAAAAAAGACAATGGCAAAACCATTTTTGTACCTTACAAAGATGAGATAACTTACAAGTCTAAGTGCTGTAGCATCTAAAGAATTCCAAGTTTGTCCTCTGATCCTGACCTTCCCACTATCTCACTTATTTCATATGTGTAATTTGCCCATTACCACTTTTTCAACATTGCCCAATACGATCTTGCTTTACCTCCCTTCCTGAAACTCTAGTTCCTTTGTCTTCCTTCTCAATTTGATTCTCTGTCACCTCCCATAATTTCAGTTCCTTAGAAAACCATTATCCTTTTTTTTTTTTACAACATTATTCTTACACACCAAAATCTTATATGAAATTACAGAAAGTGGGATACAAAGAAAACAACAAAACCACAGAGCTTTCCCTCTGAATATTGCATATTAAAATTAATGAGCTAAATCTTTAAGTAAACAATTCCATTAAATAAAACTATGCTGATTTATGCATCATAACGATCTGGTCTTCTGGGACAAATGAAAACTGCTTTTTAAAGTGAAGGATTTAAGTAAAGAAAAAACAGTAGCAATGTAAATGAAGTGGCTGCATACAGTAGACTCTACAAGTCTATCTGTAGATTCTACAGGTTACATTGGACAAGACCTATTTTTAAACTGTTGGTCACATTTCTGGGCCTATCCACAAAAAAATGCTGTAGTTCTTTTCCTGTATATTTCTTCTACAGGATCATCTAGAGCTGGCATGCTTCCTTCATACAGTGTGAAAAGTTTTTATACCCAGACATTAATTACAGAGAGCCTTGTTACAGCCTAATTAAATCTTAAAACTCAACCGTAATTTGCTGAAGTTGTACTGATGTATCACTAGATTTTCACACTCATTTATTTAAAGCAAGAACAGATTTAAAACAAGTTATATATCAAGAATAAATGTGAAGTAATAAGAGCTTTATAGCACCTAAGACTGCTAACTCTGACTGTTCTGCTCTTTGCCATCAATCAAGACTTCTGTTTATCAGAATTTATCAACAATCTCAGGTTCAATAGATCAGGTATAATAATATCTGTTTGCTGACAGCTACATAAATACTTTTCCACCTTGAAAGGTTCTGAGATGAATGATAAAAGTAATATCTTCTGCTGCAAATCTCAATTTTAAGTGGAAGAAAAGGACTGGTGAAAGAAAACAGACAAAGTTTCAACAGAATGTGGCATTTATCAAAGATCAGAAGATTGTGACAAAACAAGGTACATTTAGTCATCTTCTCATTCGTCTGCTTTCTGTGCCACAGAAAAATATGAAAGCTTTTCCTCTCAAAAACAGCAGAAGATTGTTATCAAAATACTAGGCTTTGCACTTTATTTCTATATCAACAGATTTGCTAAGATGCATTAGGAGCTTTGCTGTAAATTAATGAAAGTGAACTGCTTTGAAATTAATGAAGTTTAAATAGAGAAAATAATTTTCCTGATGATAATGCTACTTAGGAACTTTAACTACTTTTGAGTAGCTTAAGAGCTACCTTTTTTCCAACAGAATACATACATTCTTTGATTTTGGGTTTTTTTTTTTTAATAAATCTGGATTAATTCCACACAGGCACTAACACTTCCATTTCTTCTGCACCATAAAGCCCCAGGAGAAGATAAAAATATGCCCCTGTGTCCCAGGGGCAGCATTTCCTGTGATGTAGTTTACAAGACACTAGTTTCCAAACCGGGCAACTGTCACTGCTCTTCTGAGATAGAAAATCTTCAGTATTCAATACTACACAGTGGTGAGCTTTCTTACTCCTATACTTACAGTGGAGTTCAGAAAAAGTAAAAGCATCTTGTCAAGAAGGTAATGAAGCTCTAATTTACAGAAGAAAACAGAAAATCTGAAAACTTCTCCAGAAAGTGCTGACACCATTCTCTGACCATAGACAAGACAGATACTTTCTCTGAATCTTAGCTTCCCCAACTCCGAAAGACTGGTAACGGCATTTACCTATTTGATATTGCAAACTTTGTACTTAAACAGCAAGATTATGAAGTAATTTTAGCATCAGACAATAGTAGGCAAAGAACTACACTTTAAGCCAATTAACTTCTGCTCTTTTTGTTTACATGGCCTCTAGAGAGGTAACAGTACCAGCTCCTCCTCAAGTATTTTTTTCAGAGCTGCAAGTACACATTTCAGAAAAAGTGAATCAATTCATTTAAGTTCCCTAAAAATTCACATACACAAAAACCCCTAAATATTAAACAGAATAAGAATTCAAACAAATAGCTAGGATGGAAAGACTTTCATAATAAAGTAAGATTTCATAATAATCATGACTACTAAAGCTGTTTGCCTACATTTCATTCTGGCATTATGGTCAAAGTTTTAACATGACACTAAGAGATGAGATGGCTGGCTTTCCCTTTCAGTGTTTCCACTTCAGGCTGCTATGACTTGTTTCACCTCATCTCAGCTTAGCTTATAAATTATATGAAAAAAATGCTATTGCCAAAACCTAAATTTATTTATATGAGAATGGGAGCATCAGCTTCAGTCTCCATAATTTCTAATTTTTTTTTCTTTTTATCAAATACTTTAATTCAGTATTTTATCACTTCATAAACAAAACACGTTCAAGGTAGAGAGCTGAGAATAAACCAGCACAAATTGTAACATTGTTTATCTTTATTACAGTTTTTAAGGCAATTATAAAAGTATCAGAAAATAAATACTAGAACCCACAAGAAAGACTATTTGGAGTGCTCATCTTTACCTAGACAGCAGCTAGGCACATCAAAATGAAAAGAGGTAGAAAGACCAGCTGGGACAATTTAGACATTAAGCTTTACTTCTGATGCATTTTAAAATAACAAACAAGCAATACTGTTCTGTGAGCTTGATACAAGGAAATGTGTTACATCACTACACATTTACTATCTGCTTGTGGTCAACGAATAATTATCTGTGTACAATAATTTGAAATGAAAGGCACTCTGCAGGAACAAAGTCAAATTGCAAGTCTTTAAAATACTAAAATATTACAATTTGGCATAATCTATAGAACAGCAGTGCCTACTGTAAAACTACAGTCAGAACCAGAAAAAATTGCACAATTACAGTTGTGCCAAAATGGTGCAAGTCACAATTATGAACTCATTCAGGAAGCCAACATTAAAACACCATACACAAGAAAGGGAAAAGGAAACATGATATAGACTCAGGACTGTAGTAGCCTCTGCAGAAGTGGTGAAATAGCCTCTTCCTAAATCAAAACAAACACATTTTTATTTATCCAAAATGTTTCACTCCTCCATAGCTACTGCGTGTTGCATAGTAGAGATTTTCCAAAAGAAGACATGCAGGGAGCTGCTTGTGTTGAAAAGGGTCAAGTTAAAACTTTTGCTTCCATTACTTAAACAGCATTAAGTTATTTTATTAATAGACTTTACCTTATTTTTCATGAACTTCGAGTGACTCTTGTAAACTTCTATTTGTTTGATTTCTTCTTCTCGGTCCTCTGTATTCAGAACTCCGTTTGTCTTTAACATCTGTATTTCATCTTCAAGATCTCTTATATTGCGCTCAAGTGAAGCTATTTTTGTATCCTTCAGTTATGAAAAAAAGAGTACAGAAAATGATATGAAATTGGTATATTAAAGCATAAGAAAAATATATCTGTACTTGCATGAACATCAAATAAAACAGTAAAAAGAGATGGCACAAATACAGACAGCACATACTGTCATAAAGCAAGAGTAATTCTATTGATTTTGACTTAAATGCAGAATTTAGACTTCTTTCACCTCCAGAAAAAAAAAAAAAATCTTCTCTTGTGTAGTCTGTAGAGAATACATTCTGGTCAGAATTCCATCTTCATTCCTACACAGTTAGGGATGAAAGGAGAATGGAAGACAGCCTATTTCCCACGTGTACATGATAACATACCTTGTTTGCTTTGCTAACCATCTAGGTCTGACTATTTCTCCAAGCTCTTAAACACAAAGTTTAGCCTAGGGACACCAGTCCATCATTACTGCAGGATAGGCCATTTCATTATGTCACTCAGCCTGAGGCTGAGCTTCCCTATTTCCATAGAATTCTGCCTGCTGTCAGGAAGAAGAAAGGTTGTCTCCTCACCTACTTTTACCCCACTAATTCAGCCATATCACTAAGAGGGGATTTAGTACTTTTTATTATGGGTCTCAAAATAAAAACCACAAAATCACAACCACTAATAAATTTCTACATCACAGACAATGGCTGCCACGTGTGCCAGCACAGCACTGACAACATCCAGTGATCCTTTTGTTGTTGCAGTCCTTTGGAAATTGACTAAATCTCTTCAGTGAGAGTAAGAAAAATTTAAAAAGTAATTACACAAACTTCTCGGGTAATCTTCTGTTTAAAAGAACATTGCAAAATGACTCATTAGGAAATCTGCTTTAGGCCCTGTTTGCAGACATTTGTTAAGAAATTGAAAACATTGATTCAGCTGGTCAGACAATCAGTTCAAGAACACGAAGGAGCAGCCATCCATCAAAAATCAAGATATCAGGGTAAAGCTCTTGTGCCACTGAGGTTAATAAAAAAACCCAAAAAAACCAACCAAGCTGACTCAGTAAGATCAGGATATTAACCTAGAAAGCTAATTTGGGAAAAAAATGAAATTGAATTGATCCTTTAACCAGGTCAAGTTAAGCTTGAATCGCTCTGCTTAACTACCACTTTGTTTCTGTTTCTTTTTTCAAAAGTATTTTCCTCAGTTCTAAGAGTACTCCAACACTTTCTACAGGCTTCCTAGAAGCAAGCAAAACCAGAACTCCTGTAATGCCTCCTTTCATAATACAGCTAGGCAAATTTAGCAATTTAAGTCACAGGATAGTTCAGACAAAGTTCCAAAAAGAATCTGAACTTTTGGTAATAAAGCAAAAATTAAATTCAGATTCTTTTTGAGATTTAGCAACCACTGTTACAAATCCATATGGAATCAAAGCTATGTAAGGACTAAGCAGTATCATTTAGACAGCACACTATCATCACTCTAACATTTTAGCTTTCATCTTTATAGTCAATAATAAGTCTCATGCTGAGAGAAAATTTTCTTTTATTATCTTCTTATTTCTTACATTAGTTAAATTAATAGACATTTTTGAATGGGAAAGATTTCAACTATTTAGTTTGCAATAAAAAGCTGTTCATCAACAAGTGAAAATATTCATAGTCTGAAATACTGGAGGTTTTCCAAGATCTAAAGGATAAGAATAATATGAAATTAAAGTTTATATTTTCCTTACAATTTTCACTCCCAGAGAAATTCTACTTAAAAATAAAATAACATTATTTAATTACAATAATTGTGGTACTTCAAGATTTTTCTCTCAGAAGCTGATGCTCTTTCACCAGACGTGCTGGAGTGCACACAAATACTTTTGACTAGAGTACCTGAGCAGAGTGTCCAGAATTTCCTTTGTGCCTTCAACTAAGGAAATAAAGAATGCTTATTCCCGGACAATCCTATTCCTGTGTGGGACATTACACCTCAAAGAATGGTATTTACTGTCCTTAATAAAATACTATTCTTTTATAAGGTGAATAAAAATTTATTTGCCCACATCTTTTCCATATCAGTGAGTCAAAAAACAGTAATTCACACTATAGGAGCTGTGTGATAGGATTCTACCTATGCAGTGTAAAATAGTCCCACCAAAATTAGCATTACAACTTCACAGCTTCTCTGCAAAATACAGTTACATGACCACATGCAGTGAACCACCAAGAGCTTTCCTATATATCTCCATTAATTAAAATATTTAAGATATAGAGACAGTTTGCCTAGAAAAGTAAGCTGTCATATAACAGCTCATTTGATAAATCATAGCACAGCTTAACCCAATTAGAAGGTGTGCATAGACCCAGCCTATGTACACTGTCTTCATAAAGTCAGAGCAATTGAGCTTAAGTTCAAGTTAATTTGAACTACATAGGAAACAAGTATTTGCTTTAGTCTTCAATGACAAGATCTCTCAGGTCTCTGTACTTAACGAAAGGGTTCAAGCAAGAAGACCATCAACAGCGAGGACTCAGTCAGGGCTTACTTGTGAGAACTCAACCCATACAAATCCATGGGACTCAGCAGGCTGCACCCAAGGGCACTGAGACACCTGGCTGACGTCCTTGCCATCCCACTCTCTAGCATCCTCAAAAAGTCATGGAAACTGGAGGAGATGCCCGACAACCAGAGGAAGGCAAATATTGCACTCATCATCAAGAATAAACCAAAAGAACAAACCAGAGAACCACTGGCTTAACAGCCTCACTTTGTTCCCTGGGAAAATTATGGTGAAGTCTTCTTGGACAACATTTTTGATCACACAAAGGAGAAGGTAATTGGAAACAGTCAGTGAGGATTTACCAACAGTAAATCATGTCTCTTCTAAGAAGAGGCAGAGGAAAGTGGGCTTGTTTAGCCTACAGAAGAGAAAGCTTCAAGGGGGACCTAAACGTAGCCTTACAACACCTGTAATTGTTATATTTGGAGTAAAAGCACTGGAAATGGTTGCCCAGAGAGGAGCTATTGTCCATCTTTAGAGGTTTTCCAAGATCTTACAGGATAAAATCCTGATTGTATCTCTTCATTTGGGCTCTGTAATAATAAACTGCAGGTAAATATTCATTAAATATTCATTAATTCTAATGATGCAGTAAGAATATTCTTTTTCTGTCATTATTCCAACAGTAATTGTAGTACAGTGATCTTAAGCCTAAACATCTGATACCACTGAAATACATTCAGCATTTCAGTAGCAAAGTGTATTAAGATTTTTAGCACCCTTAATAATTAACCATGGCTTTGCAATATAATTAACTGTAGAAGCAAATGGATGTGTTTCCCAAAAGACTGACTTCAGTACTTCTTTCTTGGCTTTTTTTATTTTTCCATACTTTTTTAAAGAATAAAAGGTTGATATGGAATTAAAAAAAAAAAAAAAAAAAAAAGAAAGAAGAATGCTCATAAAATCCTATCATTTTGAAAAAAAAAACCCAAAAAAAACCACAGAGAAAAATACTGAAAGAAAAAAAAAAAAGAATTTTAGCTATCAAAGCTTACACAAAATAAATTATTGTAGTTCTTACAGATACTACAATCAAATCAGCTTGCTCCATCAGACTTCACTTTAGAAATTCTCTACTCCTGTCATTGAAGATAAAAGCAAAACTTAAGCTTCACTGCACTTTAGAATGATTTTGCACTGAAATATATTAATACTTAGAAGATGCTCATCTGGAGTAGTCCTCATCAAATCTCTCCAGCTCCATCTTTAGGAGTCTGGCTTTTTCTACTGCATTTGTATTTTACATGTTTGCAAATACAAGATGGTAGAAATAATTTACAGCACAGCTTGTTACACTCTTCAGAAAGTTTACACATCACAGAATAATATTTAAGCTTTATGAGAAATAGCTAACGTAATTTTTGGAAGCATTTTCTGTACTTTATTCACAACTTTGAACTCTCTAAGGAAAAGTTTATTTTAAATCAATCTCTGCATACTGTGATTACAGCTGTGTAAAAACTAGTTTTACTGTCTCTAGAAAAATTGTCACTGTCAGTTTTGTATTAACTTTTTATTGGAACAGAAGCCAGAAATTTCACATATTTTTGAAGACTAAAATCTGTTTCAGATAATTCATCAAAAACATCAGTGATGACAAGACAGAAGATTAGCCAGACATCACCTTCATTCACAGACTGTTCAAGGAGTCAAAGGTACTGTCCCTTATGTATGAACAATACAGGACTGGCAACTCTGCAAATACACTAGACAGGCTGCTGGGTTGCCCAGGAAACCTGAAAGCCTTCCCGTCTGGACAACTACTAGAAAGTGAGGAACTTTGTAGGTCAAAGATAATACAGAGTGCCTGGAGCTCCCAATGGGTACTGGTCACAAGGGTGTTGGCTTGACTTACAGGATGGATAGAAAGTCAGATAGGTTTGCTTCACTAAAAGTTTTGACCGAATAGGCACATTCCCATAAAATCTTCTGATTCAGCTGAATCAGCATTTTCCCACAGAAAACTTCAATTAGAAAACTTTTAACCAGCTCTTGTTGTGGCACAGGGTCTGGCAATCTTTCAGAAAGTGAAATAGGAACAGATGCAGTATTTCCTTCAAACCTCGACTTATCCACATTAGCAGCATTCTAACAAACTACACGGGTCTATATGGAGTCACAAAGATTCCCTTGCAGTGATATTAAGGAAGCAGCTTAGTATTAACTGGTACTAATAAACATCATCTGAGTTCTACAACAATGCAACATTTGTGCAGATTTTTCCAGTCAGGTCCTCTAAATCTGTTAAAAGACATAAGATTATATAGCAGGATTTGTGATCAGGGTACTCATCCTAATCTATCTCCTCCTTCCAGCAGTAACCAATACTTCTTCCTCATCTCCTTTATTAGAATACTGTCTCAGATATTCTGTGAGAGAGGTTAGGGCTATTTCTATGCTGGACCCAGCAGAAATTCACCTCTTTTGGAACATGAAACAATTAGTATGTGTCCTGATGCTGAAGAAAATTATATTCCACAATGGAAAGGAGAGGAAGTCTACAAATGAGTTTCCACAGTGTTTCATGAATCTTATATATCCAGCCCTTACAACAAGAGCACTATAGCACATTTCCTGAACACTTAGTGGGGGGGGGGAAAGAAACAGTAGGTCAAAACATTCATAAATAATACAGTATTCCAGTCTGTCTTACTCTGAAATGAAAAGTAATGAAATGTTACTCTTCATTTCAAAAACCTGATAAATTTAAACACTGTCTGTGAAAAATCTTGCTTACAGGGCATTCAAGAAGCAATTAGAAGCAAATAATTGAAACTTCACATTTCATAAAACTTGCATTTAAATGCACATATGCACACATGCTATCAAAAGACCATAAACAACTACTCTTACTATATACTTTTTAAAATTTGTCAATTTAATACAGAGAATTTCCAGGTTTATTTTTGAAAACAAGGGAAAGTGAAAGTTCATGCAATCTTAACAGCAAGAGTATGTTGCACCACAAACACACACACTTTTTTAGAACCAAACCCATACCTGAAATACCAAAGCTGGATCAATACATAAAGATGGTTCTTTCTGCAAGTAAGGTAAACCACAAATATTTTCATTTATTTTACAGCTTACCATTTCTAAAGACTTCTTAATTCTTGTTGCTAGACTATATACATTTCAAGATGGTCAATATCCTACACTTAGAATGGGCTTTATCTCATATCTGTAAGCAATTCATTTCTGGTTTTCCCTCTCGAGTAATATCACTGGTTTAAGCCCATAACTGTCTGAACAAGACCATGGAATAGTCTGGGTTGGAAGTAACCTTTAAAGGTTATGCAGGGACATCTTTCACTGGATCAGGTTGCTCAAAGCCCCATCCAATCTGATGTTCTACACTTCCAGGGATGGGTCATTCACAGCTTCTCTAGGCAACATGTAGTGTCTCATCACACTTAGCATAAAAAATTTCTTCTTTATGTCCAATCTAAATCTACCTTCTTTCAGTTTAAAACCATTGCCCCTTGTCCTATCACTACAGGTCCTGGTAAAAAGTCTTTCTCATTCTTTCTTATAAGGTCTCATTATATATTGAAAGGTCACAATAAGGTATATCCAGAAAATTTTCTTCTCCAGGCTGAACAACCTCAACACTCTCAGCCTGTCCTCATAGGAGATATAGATGTGTTCCAGTCCTCTGATCATTTTCATGGCCCTCATCTGGACCTGCTCCAACTGGTCCATGTCTTTCTTGTACTGGGGATCCCAGAATAGAATGCAGTACTCCAGGTGGGGCCTCACAAGATATGAGGAAGATTTGACCTGATTCACGTACTCAGGAGTACGTGAAAGAATGAAATAATGAAAAGTGTCTTTCCTTTCACTCTTTTTTATTACATTAATCAGTGCTAATCAATTTGGTTATTCAAAGATATCAGTGATCTGGCATTTGTCAGCACATATTACACAAAGAAGTATGCATGGGTGTAATGGCAATTAAAAGAAAGGATTTCGATGTATCAGCTTTATTTTTTGCTTAAAAAGACAAAGATTTAAGCATGAGAAAAAAATGCTGTTTGATTAAATATCTGTAGTCACAAAGTCAGAAGCAACCATTGCAACAAGACTAGACTGGCTTCCTGTATAACACAAGTCATAAAATTACACAAATGCTGTTAAATATACACCCCATATTTTAATGTGCATTTCTACCTCTAGCTGCCATGCAACATATTTTGCAATATATATATTTGCATTACTGGAGAGGATTTTTTCAATTTTTAATGAAGATAGTTCAGGTAAGTATCTACAAGACTATAATTTCTTTGCTCCATGACTTCCTATTTGTTAAACTACACAAAATTAAGCTCCTTAAGTCATTAATTGTTTGGAAATATTTTAAAACATTCTGGTGCCTCTTCTCTGAACACCATGAGCTCCATGAGGTAACTCGCTGGTTTGGGCAGATGTGCACTTTTACTTTTACTCCTTTACTAAACCCAGGATACAGACAGCATACCTAGTATGCCTCACTGCCTAGAGAATGGATCTCAGAAAATCGTTGTGGAGGGCTGGGGAAACAAAACAGAACAACAACAACAAAAAAAACCCCACTCCTGAAAGCAACATCTACAATGTGATTAAGCAAGTTTTAAAAAAACAGGAGCATGTGGGAAAAGGAAGCATCCTGCCCTCCTCCTGTTCTGTGACTCTGCTTTCCAGAAAAAAGAAGGGCATCTGGAGAAGGTGGTCTGCTGCAGACAAAGAAACAAACAGTAAAAAAATGTAAAGGGAAAGAATAAGTAAAAGACATTGGACATCTGGAAGCAAACATGTCTAATAAGCAAAACCAGAAAGTTAGAAAACAAGAGCCTGTGCAATGCATCTGAAAAGACAATAGATATCTGAAAAGGAATAAATAAATAGAAACAGGAGTCAAGACATAGCATGAGAATTCTCTTTTTTTGTTTTTATTTGTTTTGTTTTGGTTTTTTCTCTTCTTTATAAGTCTATAGAAGATAAGGACTGGTCAAGGAGACAGTAGTTATGCAGAAAATACAACTGCTATAAGAAAAGGCAACTACTTGCAAAGTTTTCAGAGATAAATGAAGAGCATGACAGGATAGGAAAGGTAGAGCAGAAGAAAAACTGTCTAGGACAAAAAAAAAAATCACATACAAGATTATAGCTAGGAGAAATGGGTACACTTCATTGGGTAAAAGGGAGGGCTGACTGGGAAAAGGGACAGAAAGCATTCAGCAGTGGCAAGGAAAAAAGACAACCACAGGAAAAAATAGAGGGATTTATGAAGGAGGGAAAGCTGCCTCTTGGCAGAGCCAGGGAGGGGACTGCGACAAAAGCTAATGTGGCAAGGGGGTGGAGGGGGTTGGGTGCAGTAAAGAGAAATGTATACTGCTTGGAGCCTCTGCATGGGGGAGTCTATGGCCTCAGATTGCCATATTA